TGCTAAGTTCATCTCTTCTCATTTTTCCATTTCATTATAATGGCTACTATTATTTACTTAATCACATATGAATATGCAGAAAGACACTAGAATGGAATATTTTTCAATTCCCTATGGTTCAGTTCCACATTTCCATTCCCTAGGTGGCCCAAGGGGATGGGTAACCAAAGAAGATATATTTAAAATTCATTATTTCTGGAATTCTTCTACTCAGTCTGTTGACAGAATTTTTTTCCAGCCCATTCTTGACACAGTGTGTACCAACTGTCTACTTTTTATATTTGGATGAGTACCTGGAAGTGGTATGTGGCAGGAGACAAGAATGAAAACGGAACACAAGAGCACTGTAAACTTGAAGACTAGCTCACTCTTCTTCTCCATTTTATTCCCAGTAAAATGAGTTCTAGCTCTTTGTTTCACTGTTACCGTTCCTGAAATAACTTTTTAAAATGTGCTCCTTATTCATGTCTCAAGTCATCCCCCGTGTGTTGATGTCATACCTTCCTCTTTTCTCAATCATTTCCCCCTACACACCTCTAACTTCCCGTGTCCTTAGTTTTATTTTCTGTGATGTTTCCAAACTACATGGCACCAAAATACACAGGAGCACTGGTCTTTACTAATGAAGAAGGTCTGTATGAGCTTCCTGATCCCCAAAGAACGAATTATGCTCAGCCTGGAGTTCTTTAGTATTCTGGCCCTGGTCATTCAAGTGGCACTGTTCTATGGTTTGGGTTTCCTGCATAATTCTACTTTCCACTTCTATGAATTATCCCACAACTATAAATACTATTCACAAATATCATGAACGTAGCCTTACGACAAATTCCACTTTTTGGTCAATGGGCCAAACATTGTTTCAGTTTAAATTTTTGATTTTGAATGAGTTGCTTGGCTGGCTCACCAGGTAGAGCAAGTAACTTGGGGTTGTGAGTTTAAACCCCATATTCAGTGTAGAGACTACTTAAAAATCAAATTTAAGGGGTGCCTGGATGGCTTCGTTGGTGAAGTATCTGCTTTCGGCCCCATGTTCAGCTCCTTACCCAGCTGGGGGTCTGCTTCTCCCTCTCCTTCTGCCCGTTACCACCACCCACCCCCCATGTTCTCTCTCTCTCTCTCAGAGAAATAAATAAAATCTTTTAAAAAAGTTTTTAAATTAAAAAAATTTTTTATAACAATAGTCCAGAACCTAAAAAAGAGAATTAGTCTCATTCCAACACTCTTCTTCATATGGTCTATACTGCAGAACTGTCCATGAAAAGAAAGTCTCAAGGTCAAAGTGGAATCAGCTATGGCTCTTACCAAAGTTAAAAAGCTAAAGGTATTTTGACACAGCTGCCATTGTTGTTGTTGTTGTTATCTCAGTGCCGATTAGAAGGAAGTACGATTTCTCCTGTTTTGTGAATAATAGTTTTGTCATTGCACAGACAGCACGATGTGTGGCTCCAGTGAGCGTCTCCTACAATCCTTGCACACACTTTCAATTGCCCCCCGTGTGGTAGCCATATGTTTGTTTCAGCTGGCTAAGTCTTAGGCCAGAGAGAGTTTAGAGAAAGTGGAGGAGAGAGAAAGCCAACTAAACATCTCATTAGGATGGGTGACAAAGGGTAATGTGTTTTCTCCCCTAAAGTACTGTGTGTGTGCTTGAAAGAAAATACATACTGCATACCACTACTGTTCTAGTAATTTATACTCTGATAACACATTTTTAAGTCTGTTAGAGCAAATCTAAAACAAATGATAAACCTCATTCAGCTATAAATTCTGCAAGTAAGGGAATCATTTGATATTCATTGAGTGTGCATGTGTGTAAATCAACAGGATGGTTGATGTACTACATTTCAGAGCATAAGTGTGATCAAGAGACACGTGTAAAGCAAAATGTAGACTGAATTTCACTGAAAAGAAGTATGTAAAAAGGGAAAATAGCAGTCTGCAGACTCTAACTCACACATAAACCCAGGCTTTTAAAGTCCAACTAAAGACATTATTTAATGAAATATTAATGATCATAATGCAACATTATAGTGAATAAATGGAAAGTTGCTGGAATTACTTAGCCCTTCACAAAAATCAGCGGCTTTAAAACTAGGAAAAGCAGTCTGGAAAGAATTTGAATTAATCCTTGAATCTTACAGATAACAAAGAGCGAGGGAAGGTAAATCAGCTGTTCAAAGATACACAGCTATTTTTTTTTTTTAATTTGAGCACCAGGGTGGGAAACAAGGGTATTTTATCCAGCATCCAGCATAAACTTTCTACCCTCCCATTAGGGGCTGCTCTGGTCTGCCAGTCTGACAGTGTCATCTCCACAGAAGAGACCTTCCCTTAGTAATGTGTGGTCAAGCACTAGCAGGTACGGGATTCTCTTTCTGGGGAATGAGCTGTTCATGGGCAGAGGAGAGATGAGAGATAATTACATTCTCTCCCTTCCTGCTTCCCCTATCATTTCGCCTGTCCATCCAAATTATATACACCTGCTTCTTTTTTGCTCCATCTTCTCTTAGTGGGTTTGGAGACATTGAATACTTGAATTTTAAATTCCGTGGCGACTCTATAAAACGTCTCTGACTTTCTTTTTTTTTAAGATTTTATTTATTTATTTGACAGAGAGAGAAATCACAAGTAGGCAGAGCAGCAGGCAGAGAGAGAGGGGGAAGCAGGCTCCCCGCCAAGCAGAGAGCCTGATGCGGGGCTTGATCCCAGGACCCTGAGATCATGACCTGAGCCGAAGGCACAGGCTTAACCCACTGAACCACCCAGGTGCCCCATGTCTCTGACTTTCAGACAGAGATGGGGCACTGTTCACCGGCCATCAGTGGGATGTGCACTTGGATTTTGCCTTCACCATATAAGCAACAGATTTGTCAAGCTACTGGCAAGCTTCCATCTGCAACTCTTCTGTTACTGGGAAGCTGTGCAGTCATGGGGAGAGCAAATCTAACTTGACTCAAAAAGGGCCAAACCCATGGTATCACATGCAGAATCATGAGATCTGATTAGGCGAGATAACCAATCACAAACCCCCTCAGTATCAGTCTGGGTTCTTAAAGTGCAACCAACAACAATTGACTTTGACCATGTCAAGCCACAAAGGAACGCAGTGGAGAAAAGGAAGGAAAAGCTGGACAATCAGGTCTTGAAAGGTACGGATCTGAAACAGCGTAGGGGGAATGTGTGTAGCAAGAAATCACAGAAACTTTTTTCAGGGGCAGGAAGCACAAGCTCCAACATTTCTGAGCCTGGTGTCCATCTATCTGCTCATGATTCCAATGGTAGGGAGATGGTTTGATGAGCCAAGCCGGGATCACATTGCCACTGCTTGAAGTGACAGAAGTCTCATGAATGCTCAGTCAGTCCCACCATGCAGTTGGGTAGGGGAATTTTCCCAAAATACGTTGTTCTCACTAGAAAAAAGGGAAAATGGGTGGTAGGCATTCAAATCAGCAGCTGTCCACCACATTATCAAAATGGGGTGATTAAATGCGGGGAGACGGAGGTCAACACAGAGAGGTGAATAATGAAGTCTCTCTATAGACAACAGCCCAGTGATGAGACCAATAAAAAGGTTATTAAAATCTGGTTCTGAGTCATGGTTTTAAATCAGGCTAAAGATTTTTATTTTTTTTTCCCTTTGAAATGCTTCCAACACTGCCCCAACCGGTATGTGAAAAATGGGTCCATTAAGCATCTCTTTGCAGTCAGCATTACCTGCTTCCTACCCATCTCAGCCTCCCCCCATTCTTGTCTGGCCCCTCCCGCTCCCTTATCTGAACCCCCAGGCTGCTTATATCAGAAGATCACTCAAACACCACAGGATGTTTTACTGACTTCTCAAAAATTTAACAAAGGATGATTTAAGTTTTTTTTTTTTTTTCTTAATCCAAAGGTAAACTTCCTCCTCGGATGTAGAATGAGAAAAGTCATGTTAAATGCTCCTTTGAAGCTGTCCTCTGAGTGTAATCCTAGCAGACTTGGTATAGCCCCCTTTATTGAAATGTCCCTGTAGATACTGCGCAGATGAAAGAGAGTTCTCCCCTTCCACTCAGAGTACAAATCAGGCCGGCATTTTGAAAAAGAGACAGGTTTATCCATCCCTTCAGTGTTAGATGGCTTTGTTCCCTGTAAAATTTCACTTTTGGTTATTAAAATATTCACTGTAGGAAACAAATTTGTAACCCATTTCTCATATTACCTACACACACAAAAATAAAATTTGATATCCTGGGGTTTATTTGCTGAGGGCGCTTCCCATAAAAGCGAGTGAGTATGCATTGGGAAATTTGTCTGGTTAACTCCTTATGGATAAACGTTAGTCACAAGCATCCCTCCCCGCCCCCCTCCCCGACTCTCGCCCCCATCACCCTCCCCACCTCCCGACTTCCCGCCTCTCCAGGGCTGGTGACCTAATAGCATTTTTCTTCATGCATATTTTGGCGTCGCCCCATGGCCTGGCTGCCTTCGCCTGTCTGAGTCTTTTGAAATTCCTGCATGTTCGCCCCAGATTAAGCCGAGTGTGTCTCAGGATGTGTGTTCCGTTTTGTTCTTTCCCCTTAACGCTCCCTGTGCAACGTGTCTGGGGGGAGGAGGACAGGACGGGGAGGGAGGGGCAGAGGCGAGGAGCTGTCCGCCTTGCACGTTTCCAATCGCATTACGTGAACAAATAGCGGAGGGGCTGCCGGGCCAGAACTGCTTGTGTAACTTTGCAAACGTGCCAGAAAGTTTAAAATCTCTCCTCCTTCCTTCACTCCAGACGCTGCCCGCTCGCCGGGGCCACCGCGCCGCTCCCCGTCGCCTTCCAGAAAGACTGGGAAAGAGGAGACAGGCGGGTGCCACGTCCCAGCAGCTGCCTTGACTGGACGAGGGTCTGCAGCCCACCCTTGGCGTTGCTTGTAGGGACTGAGATACCCGCGCTCCGCCCGCCTCCCTGGTTGAAGATTTCTCCCTCCCTCACGTGATTTGGGCCCCGTTTTCCTTTTCTCCGACCAACGTCCTCCCGGAGTGGGGACAATCAGGCAAAAGGCAGCGATGCGCTTCGCTTGGACCGCGCTCCTGCTCGGGCCCCTGCAGCTCTGCGCGCTCCTGCGCTGCGCCCCGCCGGCCGCTGGCCAGCAGCAGCCCCCTCGCCAGCAGCCGGCGGCTCCGGCCGCCTGGCGCCAGAGGATCCAATGGGAGAACAACGGGCAGGTGTTCAGCCTGCTGAGCCTGGGCTCGCAGTACCAGCCGCAGCGCCGACGGGACCCGGGCACCACCGCCCCGGGCGCTGCCAACGCCGCAGCCCCGCAGCCGCGCACGCCAATCCTGCTGCTCCGCAACCGCACGGCGGCAGCACGGGAGCGCACTGCAGGCACGTCGGGGGTCGCCGGCCGACCCAGACCCGCCGCCCGCCATTGGTTCCAAGCTGGCTACTCGCCGTCCGGGGCCCGCGATGCTGGGGACTCGCGAGACGGCAACCGGACGGCGCTGGGAGAGCGCCCGGCGCCCAGTAACCTGCAGCCGCCCAGCCGCGTAGACGGCATGGTGGGCGACGACCCATACAACCCTTACAAGTACTCCGACGACAACCCCTATTACAACTACTATGACACGTACGAAAGGCCCCGGCCTGGGAGCAGGTACCGGCCGGGATACGGCACCGGCTACTTCCAGTACGGTAAGCACCCCCAAGTAGCAGGAAGCAGCCGCGCACCCCTTCCCCAACTCTGTGGCTCCCCAACGTGGCTGCCTGGGCGCGGCAGGCCTTAGTCCCCGCTGATCCGATCCCTCCCCCTGCGTCTGCCAAGGCAGCCCTGGAATCTGGTGCAAACCGCGCGCCTGGCCCCTCCTGCTTTCTTTCCACTTTGCTCTGCAGCCCTGGGCGTCCCCCCCCCGTCTCCTGCTTCCTGTAGCCGGGTTGGGTGAAGGGTGAAGAGTGAGGGATATGGAGGGACCCGGAGCTGGGGGAGGGGGCACTGGGTTGTCTCACAGCCACCTTTCCCCATCGCCTCCTGACGTTTAGGTCTCCCGGACCTGGTGCCAGACCCGTACTACATCCAGGCGTCCACGTACGTGCAAAAGATGTCCATGTACAACCTGAGATGCGCCGCAGAGGAAAACTGCTTGGCCAGGTACCGGCTGGAATCTCCGCGGCCTGGCTGTCCCATCTCGCTTCAGGGGCCGCTCCTGTGCCTGGTTCTGATCGCTCTTGTTCCACGGAGACAAGAGCTGGGAAGCGGGGCAAGAGCTGCGAAGTGGAATGTGGTCTCCTGGGCATGCGGACCTGGATGGAGAGTTAACATTCTGAAGATTTCTGTGGGTTCTTTCTTTCAAACTGTGACACAAATCAGGGAGATGGGGCAAACCCTTATCCTGGAGAATTGGGATCTCACGCTCTTTTTCCAAGATCCTCAAACCTTGGAACCAATGGTTTCCCATAACTTTCTATTAAAGAACTGTACAATAAGGTGGAAAAAAAAAAAAACATTGTAATGGAAGAGCTCGAATGACCCCTTAAAAAAATAGAGGGCTAACTTGCCAGTGCGGCACCCCTCATCAGCAAAGGTTAGGTTTTCTTCTTTTATTTGAGGCCACAATTTAACTTCGTTGTTTTGGTATTACTTCAGCCAGAATAAGAACATAAGCAAGAGCTTTGTTTTTCAATCAGTCCTAAAATAAAATCATAGCAGTTTGGGGGATGGAATTCTCTGACTTTGCTCCTGGGAAACCAGCAGAGGGAGCAAAAGATGTTTTGATAGGTCTCATAAAAATTTTTCAAGTGGAAAGTGAAAATACTCAACAGTATGTGAATATATATTCACACAAAACATTTTAGAAGGGACAGAGTAATGTTTATCTGTTCAGTTGTGTAGTTCTCCCACTCTGACCCTTTATAACTGTCAGGCCGAAGGAAGAGAAGAAAGCTGAACTTACCGTTTTTATTCTGGAGTCTTGCATCACTCGCTCCCTAGGATATTTTTACAGTTATGCCATTGTTTTCAAGATAGCGAAGTTACAAAATTATTTATCTAATCTGGGTGTACACTTCTAGAATTATTTCCCCACTTTATATTTAGGAAAGTGTTTAAAAAGAAACCTATTGCTGAATTCAAAGTACTTATTAAGCACATAGGATTTTTTTTATTATTATTTGGGATACTTTCTACTCATTCCTGTGGTTAAACAAGAAATTATTATAAATACAGAATTTACTTATCACATGTACATTTCTAATGCCAAGTTTATTACGCTTTTTCACATTTTAATTGCCGATTTCCATAGTTGTCATTCATTCACTCGTTCAGTAAATATTCACTGAACACTGGCCCCTTGCCAGGTGCTGTTCTAGGACCTGGAAATTCAGCAATAAACAAAATAAGCAGAATGCCTCTTGCAACTGATAGTCTAGTTGGAGGTGGGAGGTAGTTGCCATTAAAAAAATGGAAAAGGTTTTGCTTATAATTTGTCTTCAGTTGAATACCCTGTGAATGTAATAATGTTTTCTTTTTCCAAATCACAGCTCAGCATACAGAGCAGATGTTAGAGATTATGATCACAGGGTGCTGCTAAGATTCCCCCAAAGAGTGAAAAACCAAGGGACATCAGATTTCTTACCAAGCCGACCGAGATATTCCTGGGAATGGCACAGTTGTCACCAGTAAGTGGATGGGCATTCTGGGTACTTCTGAGTGTTTTCCTTTTTCAGAGAGTTCTTGATGTATAAATGCAAAGTCTTATTTCTAGAATTTTCTCTGTGTAATGTGACAACATCAAGGGAGTCTATTTTTAAGAACATACATCAACTACCAGATCCTGTTTTTAAAATGTCCTAAGTCCAGCTTATTAAAACCGCTGATAGGATACAGCAATTGTCTTCACTAGAATTTTATTCCGATGTACGACAGGTCAGATTTCTAAAAAAGCTTGTTATAGACAAAAATTATCTATAGTTAGCTAGCAGTTTAAAAAAATTTTATTGATTTGAAAGAGAGAGAGAGCTGAGGGAACCGGTGGGAGGAGGGGCAGAGGGAGAAGCAGACTCCGTGGAGAAGGGAGCCTAACATGAGGCTTGATCCCAGAAACCCGCGATCATGATCTGAGCTAAAAGCAGATGCTTAACCGACTGAGCCACCCAGCTGCCCTACTTAGCATTTAATAAAAACCACAAGTACTTATCAGAAGGGTTCATACACCAGCCTCAAAGAAAGATAGGGATGATATACTCCATGAGGTGAGAAGGCCCTACCTCTATATTTTAAAACGCCTGTGTCAAACCCAGGGTAATTGTCTGTTCTGTCCTAAATTTAATCATCTCTATATAAAGTGATTCTATAATTTGCCTTGGTAACTTGCCCAGGAATCCTGATAATGTCGGGAAATACTGATGGATACCCTGAAACCTTCTGCAACCGGAGCCGATTTTTTCTTGTTCTTCCCTCATGTGAGAAGATACACAGCTCAGGACCTTAAATGAAATGAGAAAGGCAGATATGAACACCTAATTTTCTGATAAAATAGAATTATTTTGTATCTAAATAGAAGTTTATACTAAAAAAAAGTTTATACCAGTATAAACAATGTGGGGGAAAACACAGCAGTACTTTTCCTTTGCATTTTAGTAATGGTTTTACATTTTTTAAAAATCTCACAGAAATGTCCCAAGAGTCATGTGCTCTTCTTTTATTTGGAATGAAACATCAGGACTGCCAGCCAAAAGAAACAGACTAGAGAGCTTATGGCAGGTTTTACTTAAACACAGATCATTTAGTGTCTATTTCTACTTAATATTCAAAGATAAAACAGGGTGGAATAGGAAAACAAAATACTCAAAATAAGTCCTTTTTTCCTAGAAGCAAAGTTGAAGGCTTACAAGTTTGATAGATGGTCCTGGGGGGAAAAAAAGCCAGCATGAATCTGGCTTTAAGAAGATAAGTGGGATCTCACTTGTAATGTGGAAACAAGTGTGGGAGGCTGTGGGGAAGTCATCTAAAGTCCTCATGACTTTCTCTGTGTGTTACTGACCTGTGTCTCTGTGTTATGTGGGACATCAGACATTATCACAGCATGGATGAATTCAGCCACTATGACCTCCTTGATGCCAGTACCCAGAGGAGAGTGGCTGAAGGCCACAAAGCGAGTTTCTGTCTTGAGGACACATCCTGTGACTATGGCTACCACAGGCGATTTGCATGTACTGCTCATACACAGGTGGGTTGGCTCCCTGACCTCAGGAACCCACAGGCTTCAGAGAGAAAACAGTATGGTCTTCTCTTTTTCTTTCCTCCTGCCAGTCCTTTATAAACTGTTTGATTTAGGGGATCATCCCATCAAGATGGAAAATAATTGGGAAAAGGAAGCCGGTTGCTTGATGATTCAAATTATTATCATTAATGTATTTATTTTTAGAAAGGGTGAGAAAGGACAGGGAGGGGCAGAAGAAGAGGGAGAGAGGGAACCTCAAGCAGGCTCCAAGCCCAGAGTGGAGCCCGACTTGGGGCATGATCTCACAACCCTGAGATCATGACCTGAATTGAAATCAAGAGTTGGGACATTTAAGTGACTGAGCCACCCAGGCACCCCAAACTCAAATTATTTTTAAAGAATTTCATCATCATAGAAGGTCAATGTGCATAATCATTGTGTTCTACAGTGAAAAGCAGCGGTTTAGTGCCTGAGTAAATTGGACTGGTTTCCAGTATCTGCACTCATTCTGTACTCTTGAACTGGCTTGGTAAATAATGGTAAAGACACTTCTGTTTTCTCACCTTCAAAACCATTCTTGCCTCAAATCTTAAGCTAGAGAGAGAATGGTGATTGGGGTTAGCCAAAGAGAGAAACTAAGTTTCTTAAAAAGCACTTTAAAACCGGTCTCTTTCAAGCATGCAAATGGGAGCAGAAGGACACAATTTCTTTCTCCACGCATATGTAGTTAAACCTACAGTATAATTGATGTCAGATGTCCTTTGGATGGATTTTTAAAAATAGTGCTGACCCAAGCAGTGTGTATGTCTTATAATGGGAAAATGTGTGTCACTTAAAAGCTATGCCAATATTTCCATAAGAAACCTTCATTTGTAAGAGGACATTATAATTTTTGTCCAGCCGAAATCTTGGCAAGGAGCAGTAAACGTACATAAGGCAGGGCACGAGGGGATCAGCAGCTGGCAACTCAGGCAGCAAATTCCAGGGCTGTGGCAGGAAGCTTTTTAGTGACCTAAATGTTACCACTGCTTCTTTCTCTGAACTTAAAACATCAGAGCAATTGGAGGGAGAAAGGTTCAATTCCACATGCTCTGGGGGCAGCACTTACTCTCTAACTAAAAGTTGATGCAACCTACCCACACATTACACATATGTGGGCAGAGAGATTCCCTTTCCACTCAGCGATCTCCAGAGTGGCTACCCGCCTGGGCAGGGGCCCTGGAGTTTATTCTCTCCATTTAGAAAAAAAGGCACTCTGGGCAGTTTTTTGTTGAAATATTTGACTTTACGTCTATAGGTATTTATGGCACTTCTGGTCTTCCAGTTCCTTAGGGAGACCCCCATCTCATTTCCTTCCTTATTAATCATCTTCCATGTATGTCCCTTTTAACCACTGTTCACCAGGTCTGGCTTTGCAAGTGATTGACATATTTGTGTTTTTCACTAGACTGGTGTTTCTTGAACATGGACTTCATTTAAAGGGGCAAAACGACTCTCACAAAGCCTCAGTGTTGACTTAGAATAGTTGTATTACAAGGTTGTTAGAATGTATCCAAACAGAAAAGTAGATATAACTTCCTTAATATCTATACTCAGAACTCTTAAGTTCTGAGCTAACAAATTTACATTTTCAACATATGTGAAAATGGAAACAGTTACATTAACCTCACTAATTTAATGTAAACATCGGTTCTCTTTTGCTAAAACAGCTAATTTAGATGGCATTGGCTAAGGCTCTATATTTTTTCTTTTTCTTTTTTTTTTTTTTAAAGATTTTATTTATTTGAGAGACATGAGTGGCAGGCGGGCAGAGGGAGAAGCAGGTTCCCCACTGAGCAGGGAGTCTGACACGGGGCTTGATCCTACGACCCTTAGATCATGACCTGAGCCAAAGGCAGAGCTTAACTGCTGAGCCAACCAGGTGCCCCAAGGCTCTACATTTCATCTGTTTTTAAAGTTTGACCTTGGGGCGCCTGGGTGGCTCAGTGGGTTAAGGCCTCTGCCTTCAGCTCAGGTCATGATCTCAGGGTCCTGGGATTGAGTCCCGCATTGGGAATCTCTGCTCAGCAGGGAGCCTGCTTCTTCGCCCCACCCTTGCCTGCCTCTCTGCCTGCTTCTGATCTCTGTCAAATAAATAAATAAAAGAAAAAATAAAAATAAAGTCTGACCTTGAATACAGGACGTGACTGATTTTTCAACAGCCTTAAAAATTCCCATTACTTGTGCGCTAATTCAAATAATCAAAGTTAAAATTTAACTTAAATCCTGTCAGCTGGAGTACTAGTTTCAGCACTCTTTAAAGCTCTTTTGTTCAATTGAAGGTAAGATCAGCATTGTGGCGTTGTTTAAAGTCTTAAATAGGTACGTAGCTCATCCAATGAACGGAGGTATTACAAAGCCATGGGAGGCTGTAGGACTTGTTGTTAGCCACAGGTAGCAACACTTAAAATAGCTAATGCTTACTGAGTATCTAATATGTGCCAGAATCAGAATTAATGTGCTGGGCCCAGAAATTGAAAAATCTTCATATGGTTCTCCCCACTGAAGCACAGGTACTTTTGAGGTTGGCCTGTCTGTGCTATTATGTGTTGTGTGAGAGCACAGGGCTGTGCCATTCTTCCCCAATCCAGCAAGAACCACACAAGCATCACTAGAACATGCTCAGAGGATTTTGGCATCTCTTTGGCGACCAAAGTGATCTTAAGCACCAAAGAAATTTTGGGAGCTAAAATGAAATAGCAGTAATGACTTAAAATGATTCTAGCATATGCTTTTAAATTTACTTTAGATTAGTATTCTGAATGGAAATACAACAATTCAAACTTCTCAAGAAGAACTAATGGAATCAAGAAGATACCTACAGACTCCAATTTGAGAACATTTCCCCAGACTGTAACTTTCTGGAGAACGAGGACCCTATCTTACTGGAATTTTTCTCCTACCTACCTGTAGAAGGCACTCATTTCCTTACTGAAGGGAATATCTTAGCAAATGGAGTGATGTGGTGGTATTCATTTTCTGAGGCATACATTCATCCCTTTAATTCAATAATGTATTTCAGTGGCAATGTGAGAGAGAGAATAGTGTGGCTGGGACCCAGGGACCCTGGGCCCTGAACATCTAAATGGAAAGCCAGCTCAGCCACTTACTAGCTATAATATCCTTGAGTGACCTGATTGACCTCAAAGTGACTCATTTTCCTCACCTGCAAAATGGGGATAAGAATAGCACCAATCTCATGTACTTGTGAAAACTGAATTTATAGATAGATGTAACATGTTTAAAACTGCTCCTGGCACATGCTGCATACTTTATCAACATTAGCTACTCAAAAATGCAACAAAGACGTCACCCTCAGTGAGTTTCTAATCTCTAGCAAGATAGATTCTTAGACGGTAACATTATAATACAGAGCATTAGAGAACAAACACTATAAAATCGGGGCATTCAGAGTAAAGGAAGGTGATTTCCAAGAGAAAGTGGGGAGGGTCATACTGAGGTCATGAGAGACAGGTGGATTATTACAGGGCCTTTATTCCTGAACTGGTGATATTCTAGAATTTTGATGGAGGCCTATTCTGTCCCTTAAGATTGTATTTATCACTGGTGATTGATGACACTTTTAAGAAGCTAGATGTACTACTACTTATATTAGTCCTGTATTTTTTTTAGCTGGAGGTACTATAAGGCTGAGTAATATATACTTCTCGAAGGAGATGCAATATAAGTATAGTTTTATGTCAGACTCTTGTAAGTACTAACTTAAAGTTTAATTTGCAAATGATAATCACATTCTTTAGTGTATTCTAACCATATGCCACCTTTTTACATTTTCAAATTTTATTTGTTTTAGGGGTTGAGTCCTGGCTGCTATGATACCTATAATGCAGACATAGACTGCCAGTGGATTGATATTACGGATGTAAAACCTGGAAACTACATTTTAAAGGTAGAGAACTTTGAAAATATAAACCTTTCATTTATTTTGACTGCAACTCAATGGGCTCCCCCTTCTGAATTCACTGTTAAATAATCACGATCCTGCAAGCAATTCTATGTCTCCCTAGAAATATTTCTAAACCAACCTACCTATAGGAAAAAGATATTTTAAGGAACTTGAGGGGAGAATATAGATCCTCCTTCTATAACTTCTCCAGAATTTCACCACTTCCCTTACCTTTAAAATCCCCTCCCTGCTTCATCTAGTTGAAGCATTTCCTTGTTCTAGCCCTGTGGAAATGGGAAGAAATTAACCAGCAAACACTGCTGATGAAATCTGAAATGTGGATGATGTTTACATTGCCTAGGTCAGTGTGAACCCCAGCTACCTGGTGCCTGAATCGGACTATTCCAACAATGTCGTGCGCTGTGAAATCCGCTACACGGGACACCATGCGTATGCCTCGGGCTGCACAATTTCACCGTGAGTCCTATTCTCCTAGCTTAGTCATTCTCTTCTCAAAGGGTTTTAGTTCACTGACAGGCGTTATACATATGTCTGCTTCTTTTCTTTTTTCTTTCTTTTTTTTTTTTAAAGATTTTATTTATTTATTTATTTGAGAGAGAGACAGTGAGAGGGTCAGAGGGAAAAGCAGACTCCCCGTGGAGCTGGGAGCCAGATGAGGGACTCGATCCCGGGACTCCGGGATCATGACCTGAGCTGAAGGCAGCTGTTAAACCAACTGAGCCACCCAGGCGCCCCTCTTTTTTTTTTAAGTTAATATTTTTATTTTTATTTATTTGAGAGCAAGAGAGAGAGCAGAAGCAGGAGGGGGCAGAAGGAGAGGGAGAAGCAGACTCCTAACTGAGCAGGGAACCTGACTCAGGATTTGATCCCAGGACCCTGAGATCATGACCTGATAGGGGCAGATGCTTAACTGCCTGAGCAGCCCAGGAATCCCTACCTGTGTCTGTTTCTATTATTACTGCAGCTTCTTGTAAAATGGTCTGTGCTATCACATAATTAGAGCCGATCTTTCTTTGCTGATGCTAGAAAAGGGTGTGGGGAGATGTACTCAGGTTTTTATCAATCTAAAGCTTAGCTTCTAAGACAAGACATACACACAGAACACACTGTTTACCTCGAAAAGCCCGTGTGGTGGCTGAATATGTAAGGCATGCGATACGCAGTGTGGATGACCTTGTGGGATCCCAAACAGTTGGATTTCCTGTCTCTCTGCCAGCGTCCATGAAGCAGCTCTGAAGACATTCCTAGAGTTCTTTAAAGTGCCTTTTGAAAATCACTGCCTTAAAGTACTCTACTGAAGAGGTCAGACCGCCTGTTCCGTAGGAATCAAGATTTTACAAATTCGAGTTCTAAAACCACAAGTACTAGAAAAATACCCTATACAAAGGAGGGGTGTGTGGAGGTCCCTCCACCGTTGGCTTAGCCCTGAGACCCTTCTGTGAATGAAATCTTGGAGGGCATCCCAGCATGTGACTATTAACAGGGGCGACGCTGGGATGAAAGTAATGGAGCAAAGTTAGGTAGTTTGATTGGCTTGTTTCTGTGCTCCTCCATCCTTGAAGCCTTGTCTGCTCTAGTGTTGCGGGACTAGCCAGCCTAACCACCTGTGGCCCCTGTGACTGAGACCAACCATGAAAACACCTTTAGAATGACACTGAATATGCATCAACATGGGAGGGGCACCAGCGCCTCTGGGGTCACGTGGAGATTTGGCACAGAGCTACACCAGCACCTTATACTTAATACACTTTTCTCCTGGATACATAACCCAGGACACTGGTTGGTCACATGTCAATCTGTAGTTTGTGGGACTGCCCAAACTCACCTCAGCCCCCACCCCTGGGCTCCTGGCTGGGGGAGGGTGAGGCTTCTATAGAGCAGTCCCTTTTCCACAGACACGGCCATGCACTGTGGCGTGGGCTGCATTCACCTTGGAGGGAGCCCTTTCCTTCTTCCATAAAGGAGCTGAGCCTGTGCTCGGCAAGTGTTATCACTGCTTTAGGGATAGACGTAGCCTATGATGGCAAAGGGACAGCACCGAAGAAATATGACCACGTATATCCTTCTGAACGTGCACACCATGCAGAAAACCTGGCTGGGTTTATGGCCCCTACTGTGTGGAGCCGATCAAAGTGGAAATGCAAATCCTCAGCACGTCAGTGTCATTGAAGCTAAAATAAATGAAAATAAGGTCAAATACATGGATTAATTAATTTCTCTTAATTTTTAGGATTCCTTATTCACTCATTCTCTTTATGCATTGGCACTCTCACTTTTGTGCTATGTATCTATTGAGGTCCTACACGAGGTATTCGAGAGTGAGGCAAAGATAAATATGATTTCTGACCCCTCCCTGTCCCTTGTAGCTGTATTATACCCAGACTCTCATCTATGACTGTAACCCTGGGGTTAGGCCGGCCACTGCGTAGTCTCTTATTCAACACTCCAACAGTAGACAAATGACCTTCTCCTTCAGGGAACTTAGGATGAGGAAAACTGAGGGGCTGAGAGAAATACACATAAAACTGTAGTAGAGAGACACTATGAAAATTCCATGATTGGTAAGATAAAATGCAGGGGAAACAGAAGGACCTCTAGGTGACCCCCCAGTCCAACGGCTGAGAACAAGTCTGGAGATGTGACTCTTGTGGCATAGAATGTTTATGAATAGAATCTACTGAATTGGATATCACCAGGTATTTAGAACAAATAAAAATGGTTACATTGCTCCAGCACAGAGTTGTTCTTTTTGTTTTGAAACCAGTTGTTACTGACGATAACTATATTGCAAGAGTGGTTGAGGTAACATTTTAATAAGCCATATGAATCAGATGGAAATATGGGAATGAAAGGACCCATAGTGATTTGTAATCAAATGACAAGAACCACTCTATGAGGTGGGAGAAATAATGAGAGATGTGCAGAGACCTTGAGAGGGGAACCCTCGCCTTCAGGAGAATGATGCCTGCCTCCTTTATTCTGACCTTCACTTCTGGTCTCCCTTGCTAGGGATCAGCATTCAGAGGAAGGAGACGTCTCCTCTGGCTGACATTCAGGAGTGGCTCTAGGACAGCATGAGAGCTGGGCCTTGAAGGCTGAGGAGGACTGCACAGCGGGGTGGGGTAGGGGGAGAGCAGCTCAGGAAGGGAATGCCATGAGGAGTCGACACCACTGGCAGGGAGAAACTGCAAGGCATATTTGGAAAACCAAAACTTCTAGTGTGGCTAAGGAGTTAAGATTTGGGTGAAAAGGATGGAAGAGTAAGTTGGGACCTGATCAAAAGGGAGTACTGACGAGCAGGCTAGGAAGTCTGAACTTCATTCTGAAGGCCATGGGGAGTCTTGGAAGCTCCTTGAGCAAGGAGTGCAGCTTGCCTAATTAAGCTGTGTGGCCAGTCTGGTGGCTCTGAGAGCAGCCAGCATATGATTCCCTTGGTGATGTTATTGTACCTTTTTAAGCCTTCAAGATCTGTCATACCTTGGTTCACTTAATGTTTTCATACTAATCATGTACTGGTGTGTAAAAACTACCCAGGAGGGTATACCTTTGATGGATCCACTCTGCCTCTTTTTTTTTCTTTTTTTTAAGATTTATTTATTAGAGAGAGAGAGAGAGAGAGAGAGTGAGTGAGCATGAGTGAGTGCCCAGTGTGCGTGCATGTGCACTGGGGGAGGAGCAGAGGGATCCAGAGAATGTCAAGCCAACTCCACACTAAGCATAGAACCCAGTGCAGGGGGGGCGCCTGGGTGGCTCAAGACATTAAGCCTCTGCCTCTGGCTCAGGTCATGATCCCAGGGTCCTGGGATAGAGCCCGCATCAGGCTCCCTGCTTAGCAGGAAGCCTGCTTCTCCCTTTCGCACTCCCCCTGCCTGGGTTCCCTCTCTCGCTGTCTCTCTCTGTCAAATAAATAAATAAAATCTTAAAAAAAAAAAAAAAAAAAAAAAAAGAACCCAGTGCAGGGAGGGATTTCAGGACCCTGAGATCATGACCTGAGCCAAAAGCAAGAGCTGGATGCTTAACCACCCAGGAGCCCCAGCTCTCTCCCTCTTTTTCCTCATTGTCAATAAAACATATGAACCGAGGGACTGTGGCCCAGTTCAGTTTTATGACCCTATGATTTAAGTTCTCCTCACACAAAACTTAATATTTGGAAATCGTTGGTTTATGATTTGGAGTGCTTAGTTTTTTTACATGGGGATCTATGATCACAGTATAAAAACCATATTGGATTGGATGGCTTTGACTCAGTCTCTGCCTATTAAGGCATCCGTCTAGGTCCAAAACCATCCTGGGAAAGGAGTAACTCGAGATGGCGCAGAGGCCAGGGACCTGCTTCTAGATGGATATGCCCCACACCATGGAGTAAACACGCTCCACGAAGTGAACTCCTCTGGACGGGGCTGCTGTTCCTTTAAGTCTTGATTTACTCTTGATTACTTCAGAGGCTGTTTCTTTGAACTCTAAACATTAAGTCTGTAGGTATCAGGCATACACTTTCTGCAGCTAACAGAGTCACTTCCTTCAAATCATTGTTAAAATAATGTATTAGTGGGTAATTTCACAGGGTGACTACTGCATAGGTGGAGGGAAACTGCTACAGATTTTTTTTAAAGGGTCCACGTTAAACTTGTCTACTGTACTCATTCATAATATTATCAAGTTATTAATTTGTCTTATTTTGTTTTCTTAATCTAGGTATTAGAAAGCAAGCCAAAACTCCCAATGGATCAATCAGTGCCTGGTGTTCTGAAGTGGGAAAAAATAGATTAACTTCAGTAGGATTTATATATTTTGAAAGAACAGAAAACAACAAAGGAATTTTTGTTTGGACTGTTTTAGAACAAAGCACATAACTGGATTTTGAACATTTAAATTGGTATTACTTGGGAAATTTTTAATATTATTCATATTACTTTGTGAATGAACCGTGTTTCCATTCTGTAGATGCACACTTTGGCTCATTGACGGATATCCAAATTTCTTATGCTCCTTTGGAAATTATGGTGTAAAAGGGAAAATAACATTTTAGCAAATGAGCCAAAATTACCATTAACTGAGAATTTTCTTCACTTCAGTGAACCATAACAATAACTGCTTGTACTTGTCCTTGCATAGATTAATTTAGAAAGCAGGCTCCTACTGTTCAAGTAGATACAGACACATTTGGTGCTGAGGAAGGAACAAACATTACCATTGGTGTCAAGAAACATTACTATATAGCAGAGAAGTCGCAATATATGTACTCAGATAGTTACATCCCTATATAAAATTTTATGTTTACATTTTAAAGTTAGTAAACTCCTGTCTTTCTGTTTAACGTACAATTTCATTCTGACTTAAGTCAGCTTTTGTTTTGGAACAAATTAAGAAACTGAGCTGCCCAACTCCTGTCTGACATGCGTTGATGCTGTCTCAATTCTTTAATTTTCCTATGGGCAGAGACCTTTTAAGTGGCATTCTTAAAATCACCATTCTGGGGACTGGTGTATGGAGGACAATTTTGTCTATGGGAAGTCATTCTGATGATAGATGCAATATATTTAGAGAAACTATGTATGTGCTTAAGTAAGTATAGCAGTTAACTGAAAAATTTTCCTGGTTGACATAAAAATCATACAAACAAGTCCCCAAAACCACAACTGTCCCTCAGATACTTTCAAACATTAATGAAAAATACCTTAGGATTTTCAACTTGTCTACATTTTTTTAAATGTTCTGCTTTTAAATGAAGAATGCTAAAAAATATTTGAATAATCCAGGATACATAACATAATACCTGGATATCGGAACATTATCAGGTCATCCAGGACTCAGTAATATATATGTATTTTTTCCGTGTTGTCTGAAGTATAAACCAAAAAGCATGTAACATTACATAGTTGAGGTGTTGGTGAATAAGGGGGGAAAAATAATTTTCTGTAAAACAAACAACTATGCTGCATAATGAGACAGCTGTGATTTTATTTTAAAACTGTGAAACCATGTGCCACAATGAAATTTGGAAAATTGCCTTTTTTTTTTTTTTTCCCCTAGTTCCAAAAGGTGCAGAGAGAAATCAAATGACACTTTTTAAGTTAGTGGTGCTTAGGCAGAAGTCTTCCTACATTACCCAGTATAAAAATCTCAAGTGAGAGATTTCTAGTTTGGTAGAATTTAAAATTGAGTTGGTAAGCCTGTATCATACATCATAGAGTTGTGAAGTCAACACCAACTACTAGGAGTCGTTTTGCACTCACTAGTGCCTAGTGCAGCAAGGGGGGCTAGAGACCCAGGGGTGGAAGCCAACCTCATCTGCTAGGGCACATACTTACCAATGGAGAATGCAACTTGATAGAGACCCAGAACTTCCATTGAGCTAGTATCTGAGCTATGGAGTAACTTCTTTGATGTACCTCTTCACCTTAAATTGCTTATTTAGTTTTGAGACTATAGAATGATCCTTTCAAGTCATACTCTTTCCTCATAGAGATATTTTAATATACTTGCTTAAAAACAAAAACAAAAACAAAACTACTGTCAGTATTAATACTGAGCCAGACTGGCATCTACATATTAAGGCCTATCATTTCATTGAGATTCTTACCCTTGTAAAAACTCTATTATTACGGCCTTGGACACATTTGAGAAGACATTTGCTATCATTCACTGAGCCTTCCATCTGTCTGTCCACCCATCAACATTTGAGGGCCTGATACATGTCAGGCACTTACATGGTAGGCCTTGGGATATTAAAAACAAAACAAAAAAACAAAACAAAAAAAAAAACAAAAAAAAAAAACCTAGCAAAAAAACACCCCATCTCCTAACCTCAGTAAGTATTAAAAAATGTCATTCTTACCCTTTAGGTTCACCTTATGTCATTTTTAACAATTATAAGTACATGTCTAAAAATTTTCTATTTTTAGCACTATTGTTTTTCATGACCATATTTTATTTTAAAAAATAAGTTAAAATAAATGGTTATATGCATGTATGTGTTACTAATAATTAAAACTATGTTTTCAATCCTTGAAATGTCTGCCTCTTAAATATAACACCTACTATTTGGTTGATTTTGAAAAAAAAAAATTCAATTAGGAGGCTAAAGATTCTTTCTTATTCCTTATGTAAATATTCCTTCCTTCCACTACCCCTAAACACTCCCAAAGAACTCACAGGTATTGATTTAACACTCGATATTTTTTAACCTCAAGGGATCTCTCCTCTGAATAACCATAAAAACTCACATATAATGATTAGCTGGTAAAAGTCATCCACTAATAAAATTTAAATAAAAACCCTAATCCAGTCTTACCAAATTCCACATAAGATATTTTTATAATAGGAAGTAGAAGTAAACCTAAGAATGTTGAATACTGAAAAGGGTCTGGCTTTTAGACTAACAAAGACTCCGAAAAAATGGGATAAATAGGAAAATAATTTTTTGACTCCTTCCATATGCCATTTTAGCAGTTTCATAAGTCTGAATAGTTAGAGACATCTGAGGCTAGGTTTCAGTCTCCCAATAGTACTATAACATGTGAATCCACAAGTATCCACAAGAATTCATTGCCCATTTCCAGGAAATCTTTATATTTTTACATAGTAATTTTTTTCACAATCTCTATCATCTAATTATTCACTAAGTATTATTCGTAATAATGAACAATTTTTCTCTCTCTGAAATCTCGTAGGAAATTCACACTTACAAACATCCCCAATATTCAGATTATGGAACAAATGCAGTGCACTAAAATGATTGTGGCAGATGAGAATTCATCTTCAGCAAACTTTCTGAAAATATAGACAATATTTTGTTTAAACATAACTTGTTTTGATATTAACTGTACTGTCACTGATAAGTAAAAATTACCCCTTTTCTATACTTTTTATGTTTAGAATTCATATTCACAATCAACATATTCAATCAGTAGCTCAATTTCATTCCAACTACCAAAAGTCCTGGGCCAATTTTGAACACTTAAAGCATTTTGTTTATCCTTCAAACCAAAATGGTGCTGAGATATTTCAACTTGAATGTAAAATGTATTAAGTCTTAGCTCACAGGTTATAAACTTTTAAGTAATATATAACTGCTTGCTACAAACTAAGTGACATGTGATCTGGTATTGTAGTGTTTTTAATGAAGTTTTACTTTCTTCCAAAATTTTCAGGTAACCTATTTGTAAAACATATGTAACTTCTTTGAAGAGCTCTTATTTTAAATGCCCAGACACTGGCTTTATATTCCTCCTTACACGCTCACATTCTTTTATTATATGCTTATATTATGGATTGCAAGATATGTAAAAATGCCTTGAATAAATGATTTCAAGTGTCTGTAGTGGTCATTTGTTGTTAGTATAAATAAATGATAGGACTTTCATTTTAGGTTAAACTCTTAAAACCACGTCTATGGTTGGTGGTTTTGCTTAACTCCTTTTTGTATCAATAAATTGTTTAATGAGCTCACATAACTCAAAACTTGTTTTTGATGGGTAAGAATCTAGCTGATGTTTCTTTCTTCTTTTTTTTCTTTTTAAGAGAGGGAGGGGAAGGTAATGAGGGAGAGAGAGAACCTTAAGGTGTTGAGCCGGATGTGGGGCTCAATCTCACAACCCTAAGACCATGACCTGGGCTGACATCAGGAGTTGGATGCATAACCGACTGAGCTACCCAGACGCCCCTCTAGTTGATGTTTTAAAAAGAAACTCATATATGAATGGATCCGAACCTCTGTCACCATTACTAACAACATCTAGGGATGGAGAGCAGGCATTAAGAAAAGAACCACACTGAGCAGAGTTGATAAGAAATATACCTGAGCCTAAATACTCAGCAGACTTACACAACTCAAGCAACCAGTTATTTATAAAAAGAGAACCAATGCTGGGGTGTCTGGGTGGCTCAGTGGTTTGAGCCTCTGCCTTTGGCTCAGGTCATGATCCCAGGGACCTGGGATCGAGCCCCGCATCAGGCTCTCTGCTCTGCAGGGAGCCTGCTTCTCCCTCTCTCTCTCTCTCTGCTTGCCTCTCTGCCTACTTGGGATCTCTGTCTGTCAAATAAATAAATAAAACCTTTTAAAAAGAGAGAAAGAACCATTACTATCACAGTAATCCTTAATTAAATGTGTACCAGATTAGTCTGGAAGCTGGTAACCTGGAAGGGCAAAGAGGCCCCAAACTGTGGGCAAGTGCTTTGGGGGGACAATTTGCAAAATTACCTCACAAAAACAATTTATTTTTAACAAGCTCTTGCAGGTAAAATGGATGTAAGGGTTGTCACTGGAATTCTGCCAATCTGAGTTGTACAGTATCTGTGACAGTACCGATTCCATGCTTCCCTCACCTGCTCAAGGCCAAGTGCCCAAACATACTTCCGTTACTAATGAAAAGATGATTTCTTTTGTCTCATCAGTGGTCAGTGTTTCAAGCACTGTTCATTCAACCAAAAGCTCATGAACCAAAGACAGGGTAGGGAGGATTTTTCCTTCTGCTAGAAAATTTGACTGCCTTAGGTTACTTACTTATTTATGTAAAGATTTTATTTATTTATTTATTTGAAACACAGAGGGAGAATATCAAGAGAGAGAGCACAAGCAGGGGGAGCAGCAGGAGAGGGAGAAACAGGCTCCCCACTGAGCAAGGAGCCCGATGTGGGGCTCGATCCCAGGACTTGAGATCATGACCCGAGCCAAAGGCAGACACCAACTAACAACCGAGCCACCCAGGGGCCCTATCATTTATTAATATTTCTAATCCTTGCCAAAGATATTAGTAGAGGATTAGCACAGAGTCTGAATACTCACTTAAAGCATGTGTACATGAAATCCCGTTTCACAAGATATGCTACTAGAAAGAATTTCATAGAAAAATTGGTATGGGAGACCTTACCTCTATGGTGGAGATTCCCAATACATGTTCCCATGTTAAAGAATCTCAGAACCCCCGAACCACCTCGTCTGGGTTATCCAGTGCTTTCAAACTTGTTTTGCTACAAAAATCTCTCTCTCTTTTTTTTTTTTTTTAAATGACACTCGTTATTCTGTTAAACTATTTATCTTGGAAGACTTTGGGATATGCCATACTAAGTAATTATCAGTTCATAATAATGAAATCATTTATAAATTAATTAAAACAAATATATGATAGTGGTAGTATTTGGGCTGTGGGACACAGAAACGCCTAAAATCCACTAACTTACTGCTTGCCTTTCATTCTAAAAACCTAATGATTAAATGGGATCCTTTCAGTGGAAACAATCATTTTAGTCTCTAAACCATGTGCTAGTTTAGAAGGAAATATAGATCTTTCCTATCTGTCAGAAAACTTGAATGCTTTATGTACTCCTTACTAAAATCTCTCCTCTCCCAGATATTAGTTGTTTATAACATTCAGGGTAAATCATTCATTTTCTTCATGGTTCATTCATCTTGTGTAACTGAAATAATTTTGTAATATGTAATAGCGTAATTTAAGTAAATTTCAAGTAAATGTTAATAGTCCTCACAGTGTGCAGGAAGAAACAAGGTTGGAAATGAAGGACTTGGAAGGATATATGCATATATTTATAATTAGCTGCCAATAATTTGCTGCTTAACTAAGGGGAATAGGCACCAAATCTGGAGGGAGAGGGAAAAAAAAGCCACAAACCAAAAGGTGAACCATCAGGACAAGGACGAAGGATGTGTCTATGCCACTGTTAGAAAGAGAACATTGCAGGGCACCTGGGTGGCTCAGTCGGTTGGGCACCTGCCTTCAGCTCAGCTCATGATCCCAGGGTCCTGGGATCAAGCCCCGCACTGGGCTCCTTTCTCAGTGGGGAGCCTGCTTCTCCCTCACCTCCCCACTCGTGCTCTCTCTCATTATCTCTGTCTGTTTCTGTTTCTCTCTCTCTCTCTCTCACAAATAAATAAATAAATCTTAAAAAAAAAAAGAAAGAAAATATTGCTAGTTCCCAATTTCTAAAATACCAAATCAAGCCAGAGTTTATGACAACTATATATAACAAGAACTAAGGACAAGAGTAATGATAGAGACTGATAAGAAACAACTCCTTTTTTGCAAATGATTTAAATAATATTGGATCGTCATTGCACTTCTCTTTATGGAACTGACGCAGAAATTTGGAGCCTGACAAATGTGGTGCCAATATTACCAATCCCGCAACCAGTCATTTGCAAACAGGTGAATTATACTACTATCAGCAAACATCAGAGTCAACTACTTTTGGTTACTACAATGACATTAATTTTTTTTAGAGGAATAGGATTAGGAAAAAAAAACTTTTATAACAATCTATATTTGGGTTGCTGCTGGAACTAACATTCATGGATATACCAACAACCTGGTAGTTGTGATCACTTCATTTTTGTTTTAGGGCTCTTTGGTTTTTGGTAACAGAAATATATCTTAAACTTGCTTAGCCTAAAAATGAATTCATAAGCTCATCTAACCAAAGAGAGGAAAGGCAAAATTAGGGTTTGCCTAAGGAGCAGATGTTATCAGGAAATCAAACACCATCAAGGCCCC